GAACAACCCAAATGAGCAAAAGAGCTAAACAGATACCTCACCAGAGGAGAAGATAGATGGCAAGCAAGTATATGAAAAGATGCTCAATATCATAGGTTGTTAGGGAATTGCAAATTAAAATAACAAATGAGATACCATTACACACCTATTAGAATGGCTAACACCTGAAATACAGACACCACCAAAATACTGATAAGGAAGTGGAGCAACAGGAACTCTCATTTATTGCTAGTGGGAATGCAAAGTGGTACAGTCACTTTGGAAGACAGTTCGGCAGTTTCTTAAAAAGTTAAACGTAGCTTTACTATAAAATCCAGCAACCTTACTCTCAGGTATTATGTAAATGAGTCAAAAACATGCCACACGAAGACCTGTACACATGTGTTTTTAGCAGCTTTATTCACAATTTCCAAAAATTGGAAGCAATCAAGATGTCCTTCAATAGGTGAATTGATAAACAAGCTGTACATTTATACAATGAAATATTATTCAGTGATAAATGAGCTGTCAAGCTATGAAAAGACTTAGAAAAATCTTAAATGCATATTGCTAAGTGAAAGAAGCCAGTCTAAAAAGACTGCATACCCTGGGATCCCAGCTATGTGACATTTTGGAAAAGACATAACTATAGAGATAGTAAAAAGTGTCTTTCAGGAGTTGTGGGAGTGGAGAGGGGAAAAGATGTACAAGCGATATTTAAGGCAGTGAAACTATTCTGTATGATACTGTAATGGTGGATGCATGTCATTATATGTTTGTCATAACACATAGAACTACACAGAGTTAGCTCTCATGTAAACAATGTACTTTAGTTAATACTAATATATCAGCATGGGTTCATGAATTATAACAAACATAATGCAAGACGTTAATGCCAAGGAAAAGGGAGTGAGGTAAAGAGGGAATATATGAGAACTTTCTAAACTTTCTGCTCAGTTTTTGGTAAACCTAAAACTGCTCTAAGAAATGAAGTCTATTAATTCAGAAAAAGGAAAACAAAGATTGGAAGGCTATTACCGGAATGTTAAAAGTAGTTGTCTTCTGGAAGTGAAATTATGTGTGATTTTTCTTTCTTCTATATATTTCTTTTTTATTGTCTTATTAAGGTATTACATGCAGCAAAATTCACCCTTTTTAGTACACCTAAAACTAATACAATGTTAGATGTCAATTATATCTCAATTTTAAAAGTTAAAAAATAAAATTTAAAAATTCACCCTTTTTGAGTACAGTTTTGTGAATTTTGACAAATGGCACCACCATAATCAAGATATAAAATAGCTCCATCACTCCCAAATTTACTCTGTACCCCCTTGTAGTAAAATCCTTCCTCCACCCCAGCCCTTGGCAACTACTAATCTGTTTTCTGTTCTAATAGTTTTGCTTTTTCCAGAATGAAAATAATTAATTGTAATCATATATTATGTAGACTTTGAATCTGGCTTTTAAAAATTTACCATAATGCATTTGAGATTCATCCATGTTTGTGTGTATCAGTCTTTTCTTTTTATTGCTGAATAATATTCCATTGTTCGGATGTTTTAAAATTCATCAGTTGAAGGACATTTATGTGGCTTACTGGTTTTGCAGACTATGAATAAAACCGTTTTAAACATTTATGTACAGGTTTTTGTTTGAATATACTTTTAATTTAGTTGGAAAAATACTTAGGTTTTGGATTGCTGGGTGGTATAGTAAGTGTATCTTTAACTTCAGAAGAAACTGCCAGGTTGTTTTACACCAGCACTGTATGAGGAGAGTTCCAGTTGCTTCACATCCTCATCAGCACTTAGTATTGTCAGATTTTTTTGAGTTTAACCATTCTAGTAAGTCAGTACTGATATGTCCTCATGGTTTCCATATTCATTTCCCTGATGACTAATGATATATGTGACATCTTTGTATCTTCTTTGGTGAAGTATCTATTCAGATTGTAATCCCATTTTTAAAATTGAGTTGTTAGTTTCCTTATTCTTAAGTTTTGAGATTTCTTTATATATTCTGGATAAAAGTCCTTTACAGAAATGTGATTTGCAGGAAATTTATCCCTGTTGGTGACTTTTCTTTTTAGTCTCTTGACACTGTCTTTCAAAAGCAGAAGTTCTTAATTTTGATGAAGACTTATTTTACAAAATTTCTTTTATAGATTGTACTTATGATATCATATCTAAGAACTCTTTGCCTAACCTAAGGTCACAAGGATAGTCTCCTATATTTTCTTTTAGAAGTTTTTAAGTATTAGGGTTCACATTAAAGTGTGTCTATGATCCATCTTGAATTAATTTTTGTAGCTGGTATGAGATATAGCTTAAAGTTCATTTTATTTTATTTTATGTTTTGCATATGATTATCCAAATGATGCAGCAGCATTTGTTGAAAGGCTATTGTTTCTCCATTGAATGGCCTTTGCACCTTTGTTGAAAAATCAGTAGACCCATAAGTGTGGGTTTATTGTGTATTTTTTGACTCTCTATTCTATTCTATTGATATATTTGTCTAACCTCTTGCTAACACACTGTCCTGAAAACTAGTTTTGTATTGTCTTGAAATCACATAGTGTGTTTCCTCCAACATCTGTCTTTTTCAAAATTGTTTTGGCTATTCTACTTCCTTTGCCTTTCTTTAGAAGATGTAGGACTATTCAGGTTATCTAGTTCTCCTTGAGTAACCTTTGGTAATTATATCTTTCAAATAATTCATCCCTTTCATCTAAGATGTTAAGTTAACTGGTGTAAAAGATATTCATAAAATCTCCTTTTAATCCTTTTAATATCTATAGGATCTATAATGAAGTTTTCTCTTTTGTCCCTTCATTAATAATTTGCATATTCCATTTTTTATGTCATTGTTAGTCTTACTAGAAGGTTATCAATTTTATTAATAGTCTTTAAGAACCAGGTTTTGGTCTCATTGGTTTTTTTTCTATTGATCTTCTGTCTTCAATTTAATTGACTTCTGCTTTTTATTATTCATTCCTTCTATTTTCTTTTGGTTTATTTTGTTCTACTTTTTCTAGTTTCTTAAGGCATTGATTTGAGACTGTTCCCCTTTTCTAATATAGGTACTTAGTGATATAAATTTCCCTCTAAGCACTTCTTTAGCTGAATCTCACCAATTCTGATATGCTGTGTTTTCATTTTCTTTTAGTACAAAATACTTCCTAATTTCTCTTTTGATTTTTTCCTTCAATCCACAGGCTATGTATAAATTACTAGAGTATTAAAAGTGGTTCTGTCTTATGCTGGAGTTCTGTGTATGGAATGTTTCTTTTTTCTATATACTTTTATGTTTTTATTTTGTTCTTTTTCTGTATTCTCCAGTTTTCTACACTGAGCATGCATTACCTTTGTAATTAGAAAATAATCAATTAATATAAAACAACACTCTACATTTTGTAGCACTTTATAGTTTACAGGAGCTTTATCTAATCTTCTCACGTTTGCTTGAGAAAGATATAATCCGTATTTCATTGGTGTTGAAAATTGAGATTGATAAAGTTAAATGACTTGCTCAATACCACACAACTAGAGGCAGTTAGTTAGGATTCAGACCCAGAGTTTCTGATTCCTAGTTCATTATCCTGAAGAAGTTAGAAATAAAGGTTTGAAAAGTAAATTGGAATTTATCTTGTGGGAAGTTGGAAAGAATCACAGAGGGTCTTTGAAGCAGTAAGTAACTTGAAGCATTTATCTCAGTGTAGTTGTAATTTGAATCTCTGATTACTAATGAGGTTGAATCTTTTCCTGTTTATTGCCTGCTCTCATTTCTTCTCTAAATTGCTATTCATGTCCTTAGATCATTTTTCTATTGGGTTTGTTGGTCATTTACTTATTGGTTTGAATGATTAAAAAATGTTCCAGATACTAATGCTGTATTTATACCAATACTTTATTTGTTGGAAATATCTTCTCCCTGTTTCTTGCTTATTTGTCTTTATTATTTCAGTTTTGGTCATCAGAGGAATGTCTGCAAGGGAGTGTGTGTGTGGGGGGGAAATTAATGTGTTTGCAACAAGAGGAGTCTTGGTTTATTTTGACTTTGTGTGATGGGAAGGAGGATGGGAAGCAGGAGCTAGAAGAGGATGGGATTGAAAGACAAATCATATGATTTGGAAATTTACTTCCTTGTTATTTGTCAATTACTTACATTAGTGGCCACAAAGTGTAGTGAGAGACAGTAAAGAATGAATGTTGCCTACGTTTGAGAACCTTTTACCCTGATGGAGAAATAAGACACATAAAAGAAGACAAGTAACACAGTATGTGCTCAAGTAACTGTGGTACAAGATAAGCTGTGGCTATCAAAATCTTTATTCCAGCAAAGGGGAGGGAGATATTACTTTTAGTTAATTGGGGGTTTTCTGCATAAGAAGTCTGTAAGTTGAATGAGAACAAAGAGGAGCTGTGTGTGTTTTTGCTCACCATTTTATCCCCAGCACTTAACATAGGGCCTAGCAAAGAGCAAGTGCCCAAATATTTGTTTAATGATTAAATGATATTAGCATCCATTAGCAAAGCCATTTGTAGAGACCTAACACAATTTGTGTTTAGTCCATCACTCCTATACCACCACCAGACAGCTCTGAGAGTGTTTGTGATAGATCAGCATTTCAGACATTAGCTTGTATTTCCAAAGCAAGGGAGCACAACCTTTTCCTAAAAGGACACACAGTGTGCTCTCTTATCTTACCCTTACCACAGAGCAGTAGTCAAGATTTTGGCTTCACTCTCAGGCAAACCTGGGTTTGAGTTTCATGTCAGTTACTAACTAGTTATATGACTCTTGATTTCCCTCATCTGTGAAATGAGACTAATAGTGGATCATTGTAGCATCAAATAAGGGAAGCATGTAAAACACAGCCTGTAGTAGGGGTCTATAAATATTTCCTATGTCACTTCTCTTGATGTACATGAAAATGCATGGAACTTGTGACTGCCTGTGGATTTTGTGATTTGGTCCATATTTTCTAACCAGCATATTCTCCATCTTCTTCCTCATAGATTCAGAGACATATTGTGTGTTCCAAGACAAGAAGTACAGAGTGGGTGAGAGATGGCATCCTTACCTGGAACCTTATGGGTTGGTTTACTGTGTGAACTGCATCTGCTCAGAGGTACAATCGCTCATGGCATGTGATTTCCCACTTTGCTCCTCAGCACATAGAGATGCTTTCAAGTGCCTAGGTGGCCAGGGAGCGTGAGTGATAAAAGCCTAAGAGAAGTTGAGAAGCAGATTATAAGGAAAAATACACATCTCCTGTCCTTTTTTTTTTTGATAGCTTTTTGGCTTTATTTTCATGTGATCTCGTTTTTTGCTATAGACAGATACTGATGTCTCTTCGCCAAATGAAATAGGACATGGAAAAAGTGGAGTGGAAGAAAAAGCTCAATATAATGCCTGGATTGTAAGAGAAAATCACTTTTGAATACTGGTGCAAGACTGGCCTTTAAAAAGAGATTAGGACAGTTCGTAAATTGGTTCATTGGAAGAGCGTACTTTATGTTGTTTCAGCCAATAACTATAATTAGGATTGAGGTTGTGAAACCTTGGCCTGTTTCTGGTGAGGATTAGAGTTCTCTTGGCTTGACTTTGGCTCTTGTCCAGTCACGTAAAGAGGCATTTGAACAGCTTAAATGCCATCTTTGCAATAGACAAAACAGGTAGTCCCATCTTCTTTCCATGGCCTTGACCCAGGACCACAACTATGGCCCATCTTTCTGAATAAGCTTCTACTGTCAAGGACTAGGCCAGGGTTTCTCAGCCTCTGCACTATTGGCATTTGAGGACAGATAATTGCTTGTAAGAAGCTGTCCTGTGCATTGTAAGCTGTTTAGCAGCACCCCTGCCCTCTAGCCACCAGACCCCAGTAGCACTAACCCCAGTGTGACAACCAAAAATGTCTCCAGACATGGCCAAAGTTTCCTGGGGAGCAGAATGGCCCCTTGTGTAGAACCAATGCCCTAGGCCAATTGGGAAGGGAGGCTTTGTACTAGGTCTTGAGAATTGAGAATTCTGAATATAGAGAAAGAATTTTCAGGACTAGCCTCTCACTTGAGACCTCGTGGAAGAACTGCAACTCCTCGCTAGTGCCCAGGTAGAGCAGGAACAGTCACTTGCAAGCCTGATTCTTTTGCCATTTGAACAGAAAATTGGCTTTCAGAATTTTGACTATGTGTAAATCGAACCTTTAGGCAACATTAGGTGGTCTTAAGAGGCTTTAGGGCTCTAGAATCAAGACAGACCAAGTTTCCAACCCTGGCTCTGCCACCCAGGAACCAAGTTACATTGAACAAGTTACCTCACCTCGCTGAGATTTCTTCAGCTTCCTCTTCTTTAAAATGGTATAATGGTATTACCTATTTCACGGGGTTATGATAAGGATTAAATTCACTAATTCATCTCAATTACTTAAAACAGTGCTTGGCCACAGTAAATATTTAAGAAATGTTAACTGCTGTAACATCACTATCATTATGGTTATTATTTTTATTAATCTATTAATTCTAGAATAGAAATCAGTATAAAGCATTAAGGAGGAATCAGTTTAGACCTCAGCCAGGTTTCTGATGTGCTTTGGTGATCTCGGGACACGACCTGGCTCTGAGGAGTGACACGCAAGGAGGCCCTATGGTGTTTCCAAATGCAACACTCAAAAAATTTTTTCTAGAAAGTACATGAGAAAAGAAAAAGGGTTGTGGTATAAGGTGATTCAGATTTGGATGAAAGACATCTGCCTCTTTAAATGGCTAAGACAGTTATTAAATAGAGCATCTAGAGACTGATTAACTGCCTGGTATGGCATGATTGTGTCAGATTCTTGACCCAATCCTTTGGAAATGGACAGCTAACCCTTGGGGGCTGAGGCTTTGCTGTCTGCAGGGCAGTGAAAATGTTAATATGATCCCAGTGCCAGCGGTTCAAGTGCTAGGCATCTTCTCTTTCTCCATCCTTTTCATCACCCTCTTCCCCCATCAGAGCCTGACAGATACAGGTAACCCTTGCTCCCAATAAATTATGGATGGAAAATGTTAATGCAAAATTGATTTCCAAAGCCTTCTTTTGTTCTAGGAATTGTTGAAAGCAGTCAAAGCTAGAGATCTTGTAATTGTAAATCAGGAAGGGACCCAGTCGCCCCCTCCCCTAGTCACACTAGCTAATCAGCTCATTTCCAAACTCTAACTTGTTCTCAGAAAAATTTTGACCTGAAAGGAAATGAGGAGAGGAGGCACTCAGCTTACTGGACCAAAGCAGAGTTCTGTGGAATTCAGGATCCATGTGCTAGGGTAATATCTCTTTGCCCAGGGGTGGGTAGCAGCTTGCGGGACCCATCACTCATGATCCCTTTTTTCCATGCTACTGGGCAGGTGATTATGAAATCAGACTAGGCTCTTGGAGAAGACGTGCAGAGCTGGGGGATGGTAGAAACATCACAGAGCCAAATCAGAAGAAGCCTCCCACTAGTTGTGGGAGGCTTTGAAAACTGGGGCAGTAGTGATCCCAGCCTTAGAAAAATATGCCAATAAGCTATCATCCAAACCCAGCGGAGGTGCTAGTGATGAGAAAAGGGAAGAAAATGCTGATTTCATTCAGTTTCTCGGGAATGCATTATTCACCGTCTGGGTGAGTCCCCGCATGACTGTTTCCCAAACTGGCATAATCCCAGTGACCTATGAAAGACACTTATTTTTTGTTGGTGGTGTTGCCTCCTCTCTTTCAGAATGGAAATGTGCTTTGCAGCCGAGTCAGATGTCCAAGCCTTCATTGCGTCTCTCCCGTGCATATTCCTCACCTTTGCTGCCCTCGCTGCCCAGGTAAACCAGCCTGCCTCTTTCTTCCCAGCTGTGGTTCTCCTTCCTCCTTCTTCCACCCAATCCACTCCGTCTTCCTAATTCCCTGGAAAGGAAACTTCCAGACAGAAATCACAATAGGATACTTTTAGGTAGCCTGCACTGACCCCTAAATACTGTTTATAGCCCGAGGTGGGCACATTCTAGGTTCTAACAAGTTATTGAGTTCCAAGTAACAGATTTTCGCTGGGCTTTTAATATTTGAAGGTGAATGTCAACTCGGGGAAGGGAATTGTGGCCCAGAGATTTTCTGCCATAAACAGCTTCTTCCTGCCATGAGCAGTGGACACCAGGGGAGTTGTAGCACAGAGACATGTGTCCTCCACAGTTAGTGCTGGGACTGCACCTGAGTATAGCTTCTAAGTGATAAGGGGCTGTTTATAAATCCAAGGAGCTGAACCAGTGAGGTTTATGACAGTATAAAGCTGCCTGCCTGCTGAATGGTCCCCTCCCCCAGACTGTACAGTTAGTATGTATACATCGTTCAGATCAATGCTAAGGGGGAGGCAGACAGAGTTTTTCACAAGGCTGTTAGGACATCTGTCTTCATGGTTTGCAGCTACAGTGTTTGTATGAGGCAGAGGCTCCCTCAGTGACACTGTTCATGTCTGACTGGGGCCTGGCTCCCATGCCAGAGGCGTGCAAACACAGAATGATTCAGAGAATGCCTGTGGGCCTGACAGCAGTCTTAGGAAAGGCTAAGTGACAATCTTGGCATCTGGGCAGTAGAAGCTTTGTAGTCCTGTAAGTCGGTTCTGATTGCCTCAAGGACAGAGGTTCTTGAGTTGGGGTCTGTGGGTGGGCTTTGGGGGGCTAGTGAACCCTTTAAAATTGTTTGCAGCTTTTGGTGTAGCTATGTATATGTCTAAGTTCCTTTAGAGATGACCCATAGCTTTATTGGTATTCCTAATGGAGTGTACATGACCCTAAAAATATGAAGAACCACCGGTCCATAGCAAAAATGATGCTTTTTTAAAGTAGTGAGGAACTTAAATAGAGAAAGCAAAAGTATCAGGGCAAAAATGGTAGGAATGGGGTAAGAACGAGGTTCAGTAAACACGTAGTTAACTGAAATGTTACAGGAATGGAGATTTTGTTTAATGGAGAAAAAACCCCCAAACCCTTTCTGTCACCACCTTTATAATGTATACTATCCTACATTGGTAAATACACTCTGATGGACATCTGGGATTCTTTCCCAGATGGCAGAGGGTCATGCCATGTAACAGGCTTATCATTCTGAGTATTGGTGACAATAGTATATGCTTCAAGATATGAGAGACTGATTGGCAAATGATCAGCCTAAAAGTTGATTTTGGAATAAATCCCTAAATGAGGTTTACAGTTGTTGTATGTGTTTATTTGCTTCTATTTAAACTGGATTACAAGGGTTTAGTATGGGACTTTACAAAGAAATCTACTACGTTACCTGTCAAATACTTTATAAAAGCTTTTCCCCCAAGAAGTCTCTAGAAGTGGTCTAATGTCATAGGAGTTTATCTAAATTGCTGTGTAGAGATTGTTCTTCCCTGGGAATGAGGTTGGGGCAGCTGCCTAACAGGAAGCAAGTACTGAGAAGAAGGAAAAGTATAAGCTAGCAGTTCTTTTGAGAGAAAAAGAAAGTATCAAAGAATTGAGGTCATAAATCCCAGAAAAGAGAAAAATGGAAAGAAATAAACACCATTATCTTTTAAGACTTAAAAAGTCCATTTTGTGGAGTATAGAAACCAGCGGTTTGTTTCCTTTGCCCCCTTGTCCTTGTGGGTCACTTCCTTGTGAGTTCATTTTTCTTTTTCTTTTCTTTTTTTCTAGTTGAAGTATAGTCAGTTTACAATGTTGTGTCTATTTCTGGTGTATAGCACAATGCTTCAGTCATATGTGAACATACATATATTCGTTTTCATATTATTTTTCACCATGAGCTACTACAAGTTATCGAATATAGTTCCCTGTGTGATACAGTATAAACTTGTTTATCTATTTTATATGTACCAGTCAGTATCTGCAAATCTCAAACTCCCAATTTATCCCTTACCATCCCCTTTCCCCCTGGTAACCATAAATTTGTTTTCTATGTCTGTGAGTCTGTTTGTTTTATATTATAAGTTCATTTGTCTTTTTTTTTTTAGATTCCACGTATGAGTGATATCATATGGTATTCTTCTTTCTCCTTCTGGCTTCACTTTGAATGACATTCTCCAGGGCCATCCATGTTGCTGCAAATGGCATTATTTTATTATTTTTTATGGCTGGGTAGTATTCCATTGTATACCACAGCTTCTTTATCCAGTCATCTGTTAATGGACATCTAGGTTGTTTCCATGTCTTGGCTATTGTAAATAGTGCTGCTATGAACATTGGGGTGCAGGTGTCTTTTTGGATTAAGGTTCCCTCTGGATATATGCCCAGGAGTGGGATTCCTGGATCATATAGTAAGTCTATTTTTAGTTTTTGAGGAACTTTCATACTGTTTTCTATAATGGCTGCACCAAACTACATTCCCACTAACAGTGTAGGCGGGTTACCTTTTCTCCACTCCGTCTCTAGCATTTGTCGTTTGCATTTTTCGTGTTAACTGTAACGTTTAACAATTCTTTCTGTGATACTAAACAGAACTAACAGTTCAGTGGTACTAAAGTTCCTTCATCCTTATATGCAGAAAATGTGTTTATTTTGCCCTCATTCTTGAGTGATAATTTGGCTGGGTATAAAACTATAGGTGCCCATTTATTTTCCTTCAGCACTTAGAAGATATTAATAAATGGTTTCTTGATGTCTTTGTGGATAAGAAGTCTCCTCTTTGATTATAGTTCTTTTGTAGGTAATCTGTTTTCTCCTTCTTCTAGCTTTTAAGATTTTCTCTTTTTCTTTGATACACACAGTGAGGCATGTAGATGTGTGATTCATTTTTATTTAGCCTCCTCAGCACATGACTTCTTTTTGGCCAAAGGACTCAAATTTCTCTTCAATTTTAAGTCATTACTTTTGTGAAAATTACCCCTTCTTCTTTTTTCTAATTCTTAACCTTGTCTTTGGTGTATGTTGTTGCAGCTCATTTAATTGACATTCTGTGTCTCTTAATGTCTCCTCTATTTTTTCCCCCATGATGATATATTGGTATATTCCTTGTAATAGTACATTACTTCAGTTCTGTCCTCCAATTCATGAATTCTTTCTCCATCTCTTTCATGCCTACTATTTAGGCTCTCTGTTAGGTTTTATTTATGGTTTTATTTTTAATAACTGTGTTTTCCCCAATTTTTTAAATTAGGTTTAAAAATATTTACATGTTGCTACTTTATAAACCCCTGTTATTGTTTCTTGGGGTCTTATTCTCTTACTTATTTCTTTAAGGTATTTAAATATTTAAAGTCCATTTCTGATTGCTCAAATATCCATATGTTTTTCAGGTGTGAATTCTCACTTTTGGTGGGTTTCTTAATAGCTTTTCTTAGTTCTGGATTCCCCCTTGTTTTCTAAAATTGTTGTTTAAGATCTCATCAGCTGTGGGGGTTTTCTCTTGCATAAGCCTTTCTTTTCTTGTGCTAGCATTATTTCAGGCCTTGTAGTTCACTTAGCTCTAAACCAGACCATATATTGGTGTCCCACCTTGGGCTCCCTCATGCTTAGATGGTCTATTTTTACCTCTATTTTCTTGTGCAGTGCTAGCCCCTGATAATGATCTTGGATTGGGACCTCAGCTATAGCTGCCTACCTTGGGCAATCAAACCATTTGAGGAAACAACCTTGGGTGGGCAGAGCTGTGTCAACCCCTATTGACATGTGAGAAGTGTGACCGTACTCCCCAGCTTTATACAGAAAGCCACTTAGCGGCCATAGTTCTTGCTCAGCGGTCTGGCCCCAGCTGTCTATATCCAGTCCCAGTTGCCAATGGACCATATGTCTTTGTCCCCCCATTTATTTGTGTACTTTCCTCTGTGTTTTATTTCATAGAGAGTTTCCTTTTGTTTCTGAGAATGATTTTTGCAGTTTTAAAGCCTCGTTATTTATTTATTTATCTGTAGTTTTATATTTCACATATTACTCTTCTTTGTTTGGAAAATAACAGGGAGTTTTCTCATGTGCTGTCTCTGCCATATTGAACTGGAATGCAAACCAGCTATTCTTTCTTTTTGTTGAAGATGAAACAAGAATAAACATGTTTAAACCATAGCAGAGAAGAATGGAGTTTGATAAAAGAAAGACCTTTGGGACACAGTGGTGGTTAAATCCTAGAATAAATGACTAAGGAGAATTATAGTCTCTTTACTGAATATTTCTGGAAATAAAAAGGTACCCACCCATCTGAGATAGAGTTGGCAGTTTTGCTTTGAGACAGGGCAGTGGATGTGATGACTCCTCTGTATTCCTTCCATCCCAGTGATTATTAGGCATGAGGAAACTCATGCCTTCAGGGCCACAGGAATGTTTGGCCAAAGGAAGGGGCTCTGGTTTTCTGTCTTAACCCAATGGAAGGTACTGTAATGAAAATGTCTTCACTTAGAAATAGAATATTTAAAAACCCAAGATGATGGACAAGTTCTATATTAAAAAGAGAAAACAAACAAGGAAGCCATATATCCAAGGTTTTGGTTTTACATGCTATCCCATAGCAGAATCAACTTCAGGGAGTGTTTATTGGATAGTGATGGATTGGTGGGAAGCTCCTACCTGCCATGCCTAGAGCTCATCTTCCACTGGAGGGGACAGAGACTTTACCTCTTATGTGTTTCTGTGTGCCCCATGGCTCTTGCTTTCTAAACTCCCTACCCTCTGAAATTTCCAAGGTTCTCACTTGCATTTGAGATTGTCTCCTGTAGTTTCTGCTGAACCGTGGGAATCAGAGTGTGCAGACTGCTTTTCCAGAATTACCAGAGAGAAATTGATACTGATTCCCATGAATAACAAGTGAAATTTTTTTCTCCATCACTTCCCCAAGTCTTCATGGCAGAGGTCAAGTCTTG